TGATTAGTGACGTTAGGCATCTTTTCTTTTTTTTTTTGGGCATCTTTTCTTGTGACTATTGGTCATCTGAATAATTGAGTTGTAGGAGTTCTGGATATATACATATTCCCTCACCGGATAAATGATTTGCAAATATCTTCTCCCATTCTGTGGGTAGGACAACCACATATACCTTAACTCAGTAACTAACTTGACATGATTGACAGGTCAATTTCTCTAGACTTCCGTTTTCTCAAATATAAAGTAGGCATTGGATTAGATAATCTTTAAGGTTCTTTCAGCTTTAAAAATCTATGGAACAGAGTCCTTAACAAGTAGGTTCATGTAAGGAAATAAACATTTCTACTACTATTCCCTTTCCATGCAAATCTGTTTATGCTACTCACTAGTCTGGCAAAAACGTTACCCAAAAGTCAAATTCTCAGTTAAAAAAGACTAATCACTGTAGTTTGAATTACATGTATTGAATTGTACCAGGCTCACTATTTGAGAATTCTGCCATGTATGTGATAACTAGTTTGGTTCCACAAAACTATTTAGTACAATAAAGAAAAGTGCATAATCATTACCTTTCAATCAGAAAATTCATTATCTCACTATTTTCTTGAAAAAGGCTCATGAGGTTGTTTGGTAGGGAAAGATAGCTACATAAATGTTCAAAATGGCTTGTTCCAGAAACTGCAAATGAAGAACAAGAAAAGAATAATGCATATAACTAAGAGTACATCCTGTATAGGAGTAAGGAATAGTAGAGTTAAAAAAAAAAACTATGATGAAAAAGTTCAAATTTGCTACATATATAACTTGCAGGACATTAACAGGATGGCATGTGGAAGGAATTCATGGAAAATGACACAATGGATAGAACGGAGTCAGGTGAATCCTACAGCAAACTGGTCACAATTTTCTGGTGTCTCGGCTTTACCATTTGCAAAATGGTTTACCCGTTCAATCTATTTCATGGTGTTATTATGAACATTAAATGATAAAAATAATGTATGGGTGCTTTGGAAAATTATCAAGCAATACAGAAATCTAAGATGGTTTTATCACAAGAGATGGACTTAAACACTAATTTTAATCATCACTGTAAATAATTTGGAAGCCTAAACTATTCTATATGGTACCTGGGCAACTAACTGAATGGAGATACCAGTCAACTTATAGACAGTGACATTTTATGTAGGCATCCTATGAGCAATTTCACGCACTGTGAGAATGCAGAGGTACAATCAAGTCCACCTTTATACCACCTTGTTGAAATGAATTAAAACAGAACATGGAAAACAACGGTGAAACAGCAAATCAATTCCCCCATTAAAATTAGGTTTATGTGTAATTACGGGTATTCTGAATTTTAATGTCATACATGTTTCAAGTTGAAAATCACTTGAAATTGTCAGTTTTCACTTTATAAAATCTGAGGAAGCCTGTTTATGAATAATACATAATTGGACATTTTAACAACTGAAAGCAAAACTAAGACCTTTATGGGAGAAGTGCTTTGCAAGTGTAAAAACATTTACACAGAAGTTTAATAATACATTTACTAAGATCCAAATAAAAGTAGGTATGTACGTAAACATGCATTTTAATTCTATAAATGTGTACAGTGTACGTCACCACAGTCAATTAGCTATGCTCTAAACTTTTAGTCAGTTTTCATTTTGCAATTTACCTTTATACTTGCTGGAGTAAAAGACCACAAACATTTCCTACATTTTGAAAGAAATTAGAAATTACCTTGAATGTCAGGTGGGGAAGGAACTCCATTTAAGTAATGAAAAAACAAAGCAGAACACTTCAGGAAAGGCATGATTCCAGCTCTGACACTCCTCCATAGATGCCAGCCAGAGGGCATTCCTTTCAAGGCACTGAAAAAAGATTAGGAAATCTAATAAAAAAAA